TTAGAAAATAGTGGAGCGAAGTAACTCAAAATCCAAAAAAGCTCAAAAAAAAAAAAAAAAGAAGGTGTGTACCAAGCAGTGATACTTTGCTGTCTTAGGCCAGGGCTCCTCAATGCAGAGCAGAAACAAGTTCAGTGCAGTGTATGTATTAGTTTCCCATAGCTATTGTAACAATTTTCCAGAAACTTCATGGCTTAAAGTAACAAAAATTTATTCTCTTACAATTCTGGAAGCCAGAATCCAAAATCAAGGAGTTGGCTGGGTCAAGCTCCTTCTAGAGGGTTTTTGGGGGTAATTTGTTCCTTGCCTCTTCCCGCTTCTTGTGGCTGCCAGAATTCCTTACCTTGTGGCTACCGGATCCCCTTCTCTGCTTCTGTAGCCACAATGTCTTCTCTTCTGTTTGTATTCTCTCTCTGCATGTCTCTCATAAGGACAGTTGGGATTTAATATAGGACCTGACCAGATAACCCATCACTAACAATGGATCTTAATATCCTTAATTTAATCACATCAGCAAAGTCCCATGTCCCACATAGGGCATACAACAGATTAATTAACACAAGGAGGGCAACCCATTGGGGCTCCTCCTGTCTCTCAGGAGCTATTCGTATTCCCCAAGAAATTGTCCTTCTCTGTCTGTTTTGTTGTTGTTGTTGTTGTGTTTTTCAGACAGGGTTTCGCTGTGCAGTTCAGACCAGCCTTGAACTCACTTTGTAGCTCAGGCTGGTCTCGATATTGCAATGATCCTCCTGTCTCAGCCTACTGAGTGCTGGGATTACAGGCATGCGCCACCATACCTGCCATAATTGTCCTTCTTTTTACATCCTTAGAATTTATCCTTTGACTTTGGGGAACATGAATTCGGCCTATCTGACATCCAGCATCACCTGACTCCAAACCAGGCATCTGAGGTGCTTAGCAAGGCCAGAGATGCAGGTGGCGCCTCCTTCCCCAGTGCACATCCACTGGGCACTGTTGGCCAGCCAGGGAGGACACACATGAGGACACAATTTCTAAGGACCTGCATAGGGCCACATCCAGATATACAGGGCCTGCATCATTTTTTATTTCAAAGTTCCTCATTAAGAAAAAAAAAGAAATAAAAAATACAATGAAGAATGAAAATGAAATGAAATAATGAATGAAAATAAAAAGTGCAATGGCCTGGATGTGGTGGTGCATGCCTATGATCCCAGCACTTGGGAGGGTGAGGCCAGCCTGGGCTATACAATGAGACCCTGCCTCTAAATAAATAAATAAGATTTTTCTGAATTCAATGCAAATAAATTTGAAAACTGGTATGAAATAGACAATATTCAGAAATTCATAATTTAACAGAACTATTGCCAAAAGTAAACTCAGTTTTCAAAAGTGCAGAGTGTGAAAGTTGCTCTTCCATCCAAAATAAAAAAGGCTTGAACTGACAGTTTCACAGGGCCGTTCTACCTAAGCTTTTTAAAAGAAGTTAATTCCAATGGTATTTGGTATATAAACTGATTCAGAGTACCAAAAAGGAAGAAGTGTTCCCAAATTGTTTTTATGAAAAAGATGCACTATGAATAAACCTCCAAATCACCAAGGATTGAACAAAAAAGGAAAGAAGGTCCTGAGTTTGATTCCCCATACCAAAAAAAAAAAGGAAATACAAAAGAAAATGTAAGCAAAACAAAAGGCATTCCATGTCCTTAGCTGACTCAACATTATAAAGATATCAGTTTTCCCTAAATTAACCTACCATTTTAATCAATACAAGTCTAGGCAGAAAGGCATCAGAAAATTTATTTTGTCAAAATAAATTAACCAAGTCAAATGTTCACATGGAATAAATGCTAGTATGAGCTTCATCTTTCTGTCTTAATCTATAGGGGTGTGTGATCTAAATGTCTGGTAAACATTGTCAAATGGTGATTTTCTCCATATAAATAAGAAGAAATTACATACAGCATGGAATGTTACATCAGACACAATGGGAAGCAGCAGCCATAAATTATGAATTTCTACGTGAAATACTACTGAATTTATATGGTATGGGACTTAGCACAGTGTTAATGGAAGAGATATTCCTAATAATAAAATGTTTAAATCAGAAAGAAAGAGACCAACTAGTCCAAATCTCATTTTAGACGTGAGGTAACTGAGGATCAGAAAGGCTAAATAATATTCTCTGTGTTCCATGGCTCGCTTGCCTTGAGAAAACCCAAATTTCCCAAACGTTTATCTTTCTGAAATAAAACATATGGAGATATACACAACAATCTATGGCTAAATATTTACAGAAAATATACACATAGATATTCAGAGATAAATATAGCTATATCATCTGCATGCATATATGTCAAAATGGAGAGCATCTTTGAAACTAAGCAGTAGGCCAACCTAGTGTTCTATTTTATTTTTACCCATTTCTCCATGCCTTTATTTTTGTCCTTTTCCGCCTTCTCAAAAATTGTACCCTATTTTAGAATCTGGAATAGTGAATTTCTTTTTTATCGTGTTAATTTTTAAGCTAATCTAAAGGAGAAAAAGTTGGGAACTGTGGTCCTGTTTTATCCATTTCTTCTAACAGAAACAATCTCTGAACTCTGAACATCTTTCTTACCAGTGATCCCCTGAGACCAACCGGGCACGGGAGTCATCCCCAGCTTTACCTATAGAAAATGAAAGGGGAGGGCTGGGGATTTAGCTCACCGGCAAAGCACCTGCCTGGCAAGTGCAAGGTCGTGAGTTCGGTTCCCGGTACCGGAGAAAACCCCCCCCCCAAAAAAAAAAACCAAAAAAAAAAAAAAAAAGAAAATGAAAGGGGAAATGAATTGGGCATGTACTATACAGAAGATGACTTGCAAAGATGCAAAGATGCAATCAGAATGAACAGGTCATTCCGCTGGATGATAAGATTCAAACCTGTAAGAATCTTAACATTAACTCCTGAAATCTATTAGTGTAATTTTGAATTGGACTTTCTACAGGGTTCTCAAAGAAAAGAGATTACCATGAATATGATCAAATTGACAGCAGCCTTGAAAAAAAAGGTAAAGATATCAAAAATATTTAACTAGGTAATTCAAACCAATTTCGAATACCTTGGTCACACTTACATATTTCTTTCATGATATATGTAGGTAGTTTAAGAGATCTACTCTTTCCGCAAAAATTGTTTTCAACTGTGGCTAAATCACTTGACCAGATTAGCTACGTACGGAGAAAACTGCCGCACTGAGTTAGGACATGGCATCGTGCAGATAACTGCTTAACAAAGTATTCTAGGTATACGTAGTTAAGATATAACACAGCTTTTTAATTGACAGGCGTAAGGCAGGTGAAATGATAGTTTGCATTCGGCAGAAATCTTAGAGACTCACATTTCTTCTCTAAGGCGACTTTAGATTGAGACATTTAGAAAGCAAGCTAAGTCAGTACCTGTGAAATAATAAGGCGCTGGGGCGGACTAGACCTCTGCCACCCAATAGGTTGCTGTGGCAGACATCTGCAAAAGCTCCGCCTCTCTCTAGTCCTCTTTCGAGGCACGTGAAAACTACATTTCCCGGCAGTCCTCGGGCTTTTTCTGGCGCAACGCGCTGGCGCTCTGCTTTCCGGCTGCTTTTACGTTAGGTCCAAACGAAGGCGCTTACGGCTGGGCCGAGATCCGGAATATGGGGTCTTCTTTTACCCGGCCACTTGAGTATTCAGATCCCTTCAAGCTCCCTGTCCCTCGTGAAGGCGCACACCCCGCCAGCCCCGCGGCCCCAGATGCTTCGGAAGCGCCGTCCTCTCCGGCGCAAACCCCGTTATTTAAAAACTGCTGGAGCTGTCGCCTGCTGTCCGGGACGGGGCTGCTAGGGGCGGGCGCTTACGTGTACTTAGTGGCGCGGAGGCCCATGAAGCTGGGATACGCCCCGGGCCCGTGGGCTATTGCAAAAATGACCATCGGCATCAGTGAGAGCCGGGCACAGCCACTTGGTCTGGGCGGTGGGGTGAGGAGGGAAAGAACAGCCACGTGGTGGGGTTGGGGCGCGGGAGCGTCACGTGGTGGGGGCGCCTCGCCCGAGGTGCCGGCGTGCGGGAGAAATCGGTGGAACGTCTTAAAAAAAAATATCCCACCCTTTCTGATGACCAAACTGAAGCAAAGAAGAGACCAGGTAGTTAGGAAGTGACAGATCTGCCTTCTCGCCCAAGGTTATTGTCTTACCCCAAAGTCAGTAGTTTTTCCTCCAGATCGTGGAGGAAGCCAGAGCTTGGGCACTTCACTTTGGTTTAAGAAGTTGGGCTTTGAAACCTTGTTTTAGATGTGGGTTCAAAGCCTCGTACTTGGTGCACCACTCCGATGTGGTCCACAGTTCTGATCGGTAGAGCACGAAGGGATTGTTGAGATACCTCCCAGTAAACAGGCGTGATTCTTCTAGCTTTTCAGACTTGGTAGAGTGAATAGAATTTTGGGTTTTCAGATTTTTTATTTTAACCAGGTTGTCTAAATTGGTTAGCTTTGTTAATTGGTGTGTGGATGGGGGTAGTGGGGTGTTCTTCTAGCTTTCTGAACTTTTCTGTTTTCTCCTTTTCTAAGTTTTCCTCTTCCATAAGCAAGATATAGTGGTAATACCATCTCCAGAAGTGTGAAGGTTAAATAAGATGGCTTATATGAAGTAGCTAGTAAACTAAATATAGGACACTGTTGTTTTTTTTCCTAGGCATTGCCTGTTGGGGTATAGTTATCCTCACAGACCCCAAAGGGAAGGGCTACCGTGTTGCTTGAAGTATTACCAGTGAGTTCCTGACCTGTCCCTGGCCCACTGACAAGCATGAAGTTTATGAATGTTCTGGGCAGACACAGATATGGATAAACTTCACTATTTTGGATGCTGCAAGACTGAAAGGACATTAAAAACATTGATTGTCATTCTTTGCCTGTGAGTATGTGTGGATTTTTTCTCAGGTTACATGGGGACCAATAAATCCTGAGAAGAAAATGGTGCTGTCTTACCTGGGCAAAGTATAACTTAGCTTCCACTTAAATATACTTGCAATTATAATTCTTTAACTATTAAAATAGAAGAACTTATAAACCAATGGGGAGTGAGCTGTTTAATTTATTATAAATAGTTCTTTTTGATTCTCCTATAATTGGGTCAATAATTATTATCAACCTAACCCTGGAATAGGCATGCAGAACTAAATGTGAATACTGTTCATACTTTCAATGGCATTTTCAAGTCATCACCTCATGAAAGCTTCACAGCTAGTCCAATTTGTTATTTCATTAGTAAACCTTAAAATACAAGAGTCCAGTTCAGCAAGCTAGTGATGGAGCCAGGACTTGCTCTTGTCTGCTTGTTCTAGTTTTTCAGAACTAGCATGATTCCAAAGAAAGCAAGAATTAACTTTATGAAAACATTACAAGTCCCAGTATACAATAAAAACTTAAGTGCCAAGGTATTTGAGAAAAACACAGAACCTAGTAAAAACAAAAGCCTTGTCTTCAATTTTCTCAAGTACTAGAAATGTTTCTGTGATGGAATTAAGGTGCTTTTGAGATAAAGTCTCAGAATCAGTTCATTTCTAAGAAAAATCAGTGCTGGACATCAGTGTTTTGTTTTTTTCTTAATAATTGGCTTCTGTAAAGGTATAGGTGAGTATTTTTTAAAAGCAGGAAGATGAACTCAAGTTCAGCTGCCAGAGTGTAAGTTTAGAATGACATATTGAGCAAGTAGTGCCTTTAAGGCTGTTAACTTTATTGTAATATGTAACAGTGCCTAACCCTTTAATGAATATGTAAGTTTTAAATTGCAAAGGATCATAGACCACCCAAAGCAGGTCACACATGGCCATTCCCTACAATACCTATGAAGACAAGTTGTCCCCAGTTTTAGAAGGCAAACCATTCTGTTAACGGACGGCTGAAATCTGAATGTTTTCTTAGGTTAAGCCAAAAACACCAATGCTAACTTAACATTCTTGGCTTAACCTACCAGATAAATAGAGTAATTCTTCTTACACTTATATAGGCAAACCTGTTGGTATTGTGGATTAGGTCTAGAACACGGTGATAAAGTGATGCATGATTTTTTTGGTTTCCTAAAGCAATTAAATTTACCTGTATACCAGACTGTAAGCTCATAAGTGCAATAGCATGTCTGAAAGCATTAAAAACTAAAATCATGCATAAGATCATCTTGGCCTTCAACAAGTTGTAATCTTCTTGCTGGTGAATGGTCTTGACTTGATGTTAATACTTGCTGACTGATCAAGGTGGTAATTGCTGAAAACTGGGGTGGCTGGAACAATTTTTAAAAATAGGGCACTAATGAACTTGCCACGTCATTTGTTCCTTTCACAAAAAGATTGCTCTGTAGCATGCAGTGTACATTCATCTTAACCAGAGTCGCACTTCTGCAAAATTGGAGTCAGTCCTCTCAAGCTGTGCGACTCTTTTATCATGTAAGTACATATAACAGATCCTTTGTCATTTCAGCAGTGTTTCTAGTGTCATCACAAGGAAGCGCTTTCTTTGCTCATCCATAAGAAGCAACTCCTTATCCATTAAAATTTTATGATGAGATTGCAGCAATTCAGTCACATTTATAGGCTCCATTTCTAATTCTAGTTCTCTTGCTATTCCCACCACATCTGCAGTTACTTGCTGCACTGAAGTCTTAAACCCCTCAAAGTCATGAGAGTTGGAAGTAAGCTCTTCATATTCCTGTTAGTGTTGATCTTTTGGCCTCCTCTCATGGATCACAAATGATTTTAGTGATATCTAGAATTACAAATCTTTTCCAGAAAATTTTCAGTTTACCTTGCCCAGATCCATTAGAAGAATTGCCGAGGCAGCGATAGCCTTATGAAATGTATTAATAAAACTTAAAAATCAGAACTACTTATTGAAGCATGGGCTATAGGATGTACGTTTTTAGCAGGCATGAAAACATCTGTCTTATATGTCTCCATCAGAGCTCTTGCATTACCAAGTGCATTGTTAATAAGCAATAATTTGAAAGGTATCCTTTTTTTCCCTGAGCAGTAGGTCTCAAGAGTGAACGTAAAGTATTCAGTGAAGCACCTTGTAATGAAATGTACTGTCATCCATGTGTTCCATTTGTGGAGTATAGAATAGATTTAGTGTGATTCTCAAAATTGCCAGGAGATTCAGAATGGTAAATGAGTTGGCAGAGTCACCAGCTACATTAACCCCTAACGAAAGACTCAGCCTGTCCTTTGAAGCTTTGAGCCAGAAGGTGGCTATGAAAATAAATATATTTTATAAAAAATATATAAATATATTTATATATTTTATAAAGTATATATAAATAAAATATTTTCCCAATATAAGGCTATTTTGTCTACATTTAAAATCTCTTGTTTAGTATAGCCACCTTCATCAGTGATCTGAGATCTTCTGAATAGCTTGCTGTGCCTTCTGCATCAGCACTGGCTGCTTCAACCTGTGCTTTTATGTTACAGAAACAGCTTCTTTCCTTACCCCTCCTGAATCAGTGTCCTCTAGCTTCAAAGATTCTTCTGCAGCTTTCTCACAGAATGGAGAAGATGTAGGGCTTTACTCTGGATTGGGTTGTGGCTTATAGTGAGTTATGTCTGAGCCCTTTTAAATTGTTTGAGACATGATTTTACTAAATTGCTAAATTGTCCAGGTTGGGGTTAAACTTGCGATTTTCTTGCCTCAGCCTCCCCAGAGTGCTGAGATTATAGTGTGTTGCACTGTGGCCAGCTATCCAGTCAAAACTTCATATCAGCAGGAAGACTGTTTTGCATTCTTAGCGTTTTTACATTCACTGGTACAGCATTTTAAATTTCCTTCAAGACCTTGTCCTTTACATACGGAGTTTGGCTAACAGTCTGGTACAAGATGACCTAGCTTTCTACCTGTCCTGGCTGTCAACACTGGCTTCCTAATAAAGCTTAGTCATTTCTAGCTTTTGATTTAAAGTGAGAGATGTGTCACTTCCTTTCACTTCAATACTTAAAGACTTTTTTACGGTTACTAATTTCAAGACCCGAGGAGAGGAAGAAAGTTGAGGAATGGTTGGTTTTGGAGCAGTACAACTCAGGTTTTTGAAGTTAGTTTGCCATCTTACGTGGGTAGGATTAGTGGTGCCACAAAGCATTACACATTAACATCAAAGATCACTGATCACAGACCACCATAACAGATATAATAATGATGGAAAAGTGTGAGATACTGTGAGAATTACCTAAACGTAACTCAGAGACACTGAGATCACGATGTTGGAAAAATGGCACTGATAGACTTGCTCATGTAGGCTTGCCACAAACTCAATCTATTAAAAAGTGCAGTCTCTGTAAAGTGCAGTAAAATGAAATATAATAAAACGAGATGTGTCTAAATTGTAGCATTCCTTTGATGTTTTTCTTAAATTTTATGTGTAAATATGTAAACAAATAGGAGTTTTTTTCTAAGTACATTTTCCTGCTCACCAGATATATTTGGTTCTGCCTAGCCTGGAGGAGCACTTCACCTGAGTACGACCAAAGTATTGTCCTGTCATGTCTGTGGGCAGTTAAGTAGGAATAAGCAACAGAAAAAAAGGTCAGAATTTGTAATCAAATTGTTTTGTTTTGTTTGTTTTTGAAAGTGTACTCCAAAATTTGATTTGTGTCTATACTAAGACAGACAGTGAGTTTGAAGGGCCAATCTGATCTTCACAGAGAGCGCTCTGGAAGAAAGACATCACTTTGACCCTACAGTATAGAAAGTGGATACACTTAGTTTCCTCATTTCCTTCCCTTTCGCCATGGGTGACATGAGGTGAACAGAAACAGCAGGCTCAAAAAGCAGTAAATTGTTACTCGGTAGTGTAGGAGTGCCAGTTTAATTATGATTTAGGAGTTTTAGAACCCTTTTACAGCATGAAAATGAGAGTCGCTGAAGGTTTATAATTACAACTAGTAGGAAAAGTGAAAGTACAAAGATTAGCCCTTACAATGTTCTTACAGTTTTCCTTGGGATCCACAAACCGAAGTGTGAATACACATGTAGACACTGACATTTTTATCAGTATTTAAGATACCTGTTTGCTCAAGCTTTACACCATGAGTATAAACTGGCATTTGAAGATAACATTATACCATCTTTTATTCCCCCTTGCATTGACTAATCTTGTGTCTCGTGATCGACTAAAAACATGCATGAACATTAAAGGATCCAAATATAGATTGACACCCCCACCCAAGGATCTTGGTGGAGTAAGGGTGTGGGGTGAGAGATTGCTTTTTTCCTAGGGCAGTTGCTAGATGTTGCTGGCAGCCCTAGAGGGCTCCGGATGCCGGCCAGTCCCAGTAGTTTTGGAGTCTCACCTGCTTGAGGCTTTCCAGAGGTACTTGTTTCTGGTAGCCCTGGAAACTGAACATCTCAGTCGTGATCTGTGCTTCACCTCCACCCTGAATTAATATTGGCTCATTGCTCCTTTTTATTACTGGCTTCTCAGCCTCACTCTTTCTGAAGTGGGAATTTCCTGAGTAAAACCAGTTGACTGAACCACATCAAATATAGTTCTCTTAAATATATGTTCAGGGCAAGCACATGTTCAAGTACTCCCTCAAACCAGGCCTGGCCTCAGCTGCTGTATCACCAAGACTGCGTTGATCAAACTGACATTTCTCAAATCTTGGAGAAAGAAAGAATAAGCGATTGGACTGGAAATGCTGTTTATTTATTTTTTAAATGACAGATTAAATCCTGCCTTGATCCAGTGATTATATAGGTGTTGGGGCACAGAGTCAGAGGTGAAAGACATAATTGCACACATCATTCAGAGGTACTCTAAGAGCACAGGGCAAAAATATGCCATTTTTCTAAAATTCATGTCTCTTGGCCTTTCAGGTATTCAACAGCTTGTCATTCAAATGTAAATTGAGTGTAGAGAAATAACCAA